TTTGATTTCCCTCCTGCTCCTGGCTGGAGTGTGGGATCCATCCTTCAACATCGAAGTGTCCGCCTTGGATCTCAACTCTCATAATCATCATTGTGTCATTCTCTCTGTGCCCGGTGAGCAGGGGGATGTGTATCATATCAGGAAGGAAACGGCAGCTGTGACCTTGGGAGGACAAAACTTTAACAAGGCTGTGTTAATATGAGACACTCCAAACCTTAGAAACAAGGACGTTTAACCCCACAGGAATCGTCGTAGAAATTTAAACGCAGATTTTCTCTGAGTTTTTCACTCTAGCAGTGCAGAGTCATTTGACTTACAATTACCCGACTCTTAAAGTATAGTATTTAAGTTTGCTGCTGCATAGCATTTAGCATGACTATGAATAAATTGCTGCCCATCACAATTTAATACTGAACATTTAAATTCCACTGCTGATGCTATTTGCCACCATTTCAAATGTTCATTTTGGCAGCTTTATATCTGATTTTTATTAAAGGTAGCTGTTAATTTGCTGGTGCTGCTATTTGCAATTAATGCAAACTCAACATTTCCTCCATCTGTTACTTATTTCTATCCCTTCAGCGGCTCAGGGATATAATCCCTTCTGTTCAATGAAAGACTTATGGGGTGAAACATCTGCAGGAATTGTTGAGTTTCATTAACAGCAGCTTAACACTGAGAATTAACAGCAAAGTAAAATTAATCGTCGACCAGGTAAAAAAATTCTGTTCCAAAGAGTGACCCATAGCAGAATGATTGAAGTGTGATTTATGTTAGAAAGATTCATTCTCTATATTGACAGTGGATGTGTCTAAATAAGGTGTGAACCCTTCTCAAATGAATTAATATTTAATCTTATTTAAAAGTTTCTCTTTTGCAAATGTGTTTGCAAAAAAGTACTTTTTATACTTTTTGACAGATAGTGTGTAGTCCTGCGGCAGAACTCCACCTTCACTGTCTTCGACTGAAAGTAGCAACACTAGACCTTACTTTGCTCTGAGGCCTTGAGGAACCAGTGCTTCACCTCCTACACATTTCCAGTTTGAGCAGTTAGTCCTCCATTATGCAGATAAACTGCAAGATAGATGACTAACCTTGCAAGGACTATCCTCAGCACCTCCAATCCAGATTGGTAGGAATGAGTTCAGCTACAATCCTTGTGGGTACACGGAAGACAGGAAGAGGCCCTGTGGTAACAGAAAGACAAAGACGGAAAAGAAACGACTCCATGAAAAACCAGGACAAGGAAATGGGGCGATGAGAACTCGGTGTGTTTAAGCACTACAGTTTCCGTGAGAAAAGGTGAAGAATGAGAGAAGAGGATGCAGTCCACATCAGTAAAGAGTGGTGGATGTTACTTTGTTCCCAGCATCTTGCACTCCCAGTATTCTAATGGGGTAAAGTAATACAATCTGCATTGCAGCCCAAGTTAAAAATAACCTAATGGTGCAGTGACATATGATGCTCTAGGATCACCGTCTGATTCCTCACTAATTTGAGATTAATTGGATTTCTAAGCGTATGTGTTACCTCCTGCCTGTGCTTACTGTACTTCAAAGCTTCTGTTTGGAAAGGCAGTCAGTGTAATGATACACTCAAATCTAAAAGATAAGTGCTGATTTCCTCATTTTGTAGCTGACTTGTTAGTATGGATAATTGTTAATAACTTTCTTTGCTTTCATAATAAGTGTGATGTTTTAATCAAGGTATCCTATTTATTTACTATTCATTAATCAATTCCCTAATATTTGACCGATATTCCTACATGTCTACAAATATTGTATTAGTGTCCGACAGAATGAAGTCTTGACTATGCTCCATTGTGGATGTGGACAGCTGGAGACCCAACAAGCATGCAATGATTCCTGTTATCCTCCTCGGAAATGCGCTGCCTGGGGCGGATGCGTCGTCGGTGCATTGTAATGTAAATTCCCTGCGGACAGAAAACAGGCAGGCGCCTGGGTGTGCACAAAATTTACGCCGCTCAGATTCAAGTGGATTCGTGTTTACTCACAGACAAGGAAAGTCGAGGCTTGAGATCACAGATATACAAGTGGTAAATATGAGCTTCCTCCAAAGGGTATTTGGACTCGGGAGGAGCTCAGTAATTTTGGAGTGTCTCAAAGTAGTACTTATACTCCCTCACACTGAAAGTAGCCTGGATAAACGGTAGAAAATAAAAGGGTGTCATTTTCTATCAGCCTGTTGGTTAACAGTTCTACAAGCCATATAAGGTTTAGATCTGTGTTACTGGGTTGGTTGCATGCCCTCAGTGGTATTTGAACTAACTGGTTTAAAATTTTGACATTTTAAAGGCTTCTGCTGTTTCTTTGTGCTTCTGAGTGGTGGAAAAAAACAAACCGAGGGCGGTGTCAGACAGCCTTAATTCTTTACGCCGACCTGAAATTATCCTGAACCAAACCGTCAGCCTTAACATGGCTGCTAATAAGAGCTCATCCCCCAGATTTCTTCCACCGGCCTCCTGTGTATGTTTGTCTTCTCTCTCACATGGAGGCACAAACACACCCCTCCTGCTGTGTTTGGACAGTACAGCTCACAATCTCCATCTCCAGCACGTGGCCAAATGGGGCCTGGGCTTTGTGAGTGTGTGCATTTAGGCTGCTTTCTGTATTGGTGTCTGTACGGGCATGTGCCTGGCTGCCCACGTTGACTCTAATGTAGCCTGTCATATATAGGCTAACACTACTCTCTAACCTACCCAGCCAATCAAAGCTTGCAGATGAGAGGAGGAAGCCCAGTGGCCGCAGGCTCTGCGTAAGGCTGCAACGCCTATCGACGGCAACCATGAACCGACTTATTGACTGGCCGTCTGGCTGACTTGCTGACTAGTTGTCTGTGTTGCTGCCTCTTGAGCTGGCTTTGCCTGTTCATCCTTAATCTGTTTGTCTATTTAAAGTCTTAGGTTTATTGTATCAGCAGGAACAGGGAGGGGGAGGCAATAAGTTGGATTTTTTTTTTTTTATTTTTTTAAACTGCTGTTAAGCCCCCGTATTTAGTCGCCTGCTGATCCACAGGGGTGTCAGCCTGTCCCAGACTAGTAACATCAGCGATTGTGCAGGAGAAATGAGTAGTGGATTGCATGTTATTGTCATGAGATGGTGACTGCCATGTTGTCAGCTGAGCGTGATGATGATGATGGAATGCATGAATAGTAACAAACATTTTTTTTTTTTTTCTTCCTTTTCCCCTTCTCCAAGTATTTCTCACACACCTCGTTCACCACATTACCCTCCTCGCACTGATAGGATTACAGCTTCCTCTGTGCTTTTTAATTAATGGGTTAAATAGACCCCCTACTATGGACCTCGAAAGGGGCTGTGTGTGCATGTGGAGGGGAGAGATGGCAAGGTCATGTGACTTCGTTTAGAACGGTATTAAAAAGAGCCCTGTGTCCTTTTGATTAGCGTGTGTGTGTGTGTGTGTGTGTGTGTGTGTGTGTGTATTTCAGGGTGGAGGCTGTTGAAAAGCCGAATTAACACATCCACACTGCAGCCATTTGAGAGAGAGACTTTTCATATAAACCCAAGACTTCTAAATAAATGCATAAATGGGTCTAATTTGATAACTGGAGTCTTTATATTACTGTGTATTAAGCAAGTATGCTTCGTTTTGTTTCTATTAGAGGTATATTTCATGGTGCTCAGTGCAAAGAGAATGTAACAGTGGTAAAACAAGAAAAGGATTTAACCAGTCACCTATGAATGAATGTTGCTGAAGATAAATACAACCCTTGACATTCAGCGTCTTCTCCTAAACAGGAAAAAAAAATAAAAAATCTTGATTATATCTTTGTAATCAAGTTATGAGCTGTGCAGATACAGACATTCCTTTGCGATTCTGGGGTGTTTCCGAAGCAGTCATGCACACACATGCATGACGACACATGTGCTGCACACTGCATGCATGCATGCATACATTTGTAAGCAGTCAGGACCCTTCTCAGGCGCAAGGCAGCCATGTTGACCCTCATAAATAGGTCATGGAGCATACACACTGAGGTTTAAAGTGCATATCACGATAATCAGAGCTGCCCTCTGGCATTGTTGGTGTGAGGCATGATGGTAAAGAAAATACCATGACTTAATTACTTGTATATGTTTCCCTTATGGAGGATAGGAGGTATTTTACTTTATATAGCTATAACACATGGAAGCTGAAGGGTGAAATGGTTCATCATTTTAATGGATCATCAAAATGTGTTGCCTCAAATAAATGGTAAAAATGGCCTGTATTTATATAGCGCTTTACTAGTCCCCAAGGACCCCAAAGCGCTTTACACATCCAGTCATTCACCCATTCACACACACATTCACACACTGGTGATGGCAAGCTACATTGTAACCACAGCCACCCTTAAATATTATTAAGTAAATTATTTCATTATTTTTATCTATAGGAACAGCAAAACGAATGTGTGGCAAGTTTGTTAAAATGAGTTAAGTTTAGTATAAAATGTAACTGGTTAATTATCGTTTTAAAATTAAATTAGCATGAGTGTTAAATTGCATTTCACTTTAAAGTGACATAAGTATTTTTGTTTGCGTGTTTGTGTAATCTATTGGCCTTAGCTGATGTGGTTCTGTTTTACTTAGTCTTATGCAAAAAAGTTTTCACGAGGCTCCTAAGTACACCCTTACTGTTTTCAATATGAATTAAGAAAGTAAGGAGCATCCAGGTGCTGCTGATGTAATGCAATTAATAAACTGATCATTAGCAAGTGTGAACACCTTTTAATAAAGCAGATGATTTGGCAGTTCATTTGTCTATTCATCATTGAAGTGCGCGTTAACACAATACCACAATCTTTTAAGGGATGGAAGATTGTCTGAGAAATTCACTCCAAGTTCAGACTGTGCAATGCACAGAGGAACCGCTAAAAATCCAGAGCTATGTCTCGGACTCCTCTGGGCTCACTTAGAATGTGAAATATTCAGTCTTTTTCTAATTGGACTATCTTGAACTTTAATAAGCAGAAAAACATGGCAGCACAGCTCAGGTTTGCATCAACAAACCACAATGTCTGGAACAATGTCCTTTGGACAGATGTAATGCACAGTACCATGTTTGGTAAAATCAAGAACAGCATATCAGAAGCACGGTAGTGGAGGGGTGATGATTTGGCCTTGTTTTGCATCCACTGGTTCTGGCCAGCTTGCAGTGACTGACTTGACCGTGAACTCCTCTGTTTACCAAGTATTCTAGAGTTAAATGTGAGGCCATGTGTCCCAAAACTAAATGTTGTCCCAAATTGGGTCATGAAAAACAGGACAGTGATCCTGAGTATACCAGCAAATGTGCATAAAAGAAAGCCTGCAGACCTCAGTGGAGTAAACTGAAGTAATGCTGTGAAGAAGAACGAGCCAAAATTCCTTCACAAGAATGTGAGAGACTGATAAAGTCGTGCA